AGTTTTTTATCACTTGCAGAAGGCACCCTGGTGATATAGTGGCTAAATGCTCAGGTGTTAACCAAAAGGTTGGTGGTTCAAACCCACCAACCACTCCAAGGGAGAAAGATGTGGCAGTCTGCTTCCATAAAGATTACAACCTCAGAAACCCTATGGGGCAGTTCTACTCGGTCGCGTAAGGTCGTTATCAGTTGAAATTGACTCGACAGAGACAGGTTTGGTTTTTTTGGTTTACACTTGCAGCCACACCTAATCCTGATACAGAATTTGGTACCTGGAAGTGAGAAGCTGTATGTGAAAGAGTCCATAAGTGTAGCCGTGGCTCAGGTGAGGGTAAATGGAGGCATATTTTAAGGACTCAGCAATTTCAGATAGGAAAGCTGATAACTCTTGTTAGTATCAAAACCTTGAGCCAAATCATTGCATGTTGTACCTTGGAAGGCTACACTTGGCTGGTCTGCAAGCAAAGATGAATGGAAATACACCTTTGCTAAAGTAGGCACTCTTGGGCCACAGTCTGCAATATAAATTGACTAAGAATCCCATAATTTGGTGTATTTCAGGGTTGAACATTCTCACGTTCAATCCCTAAATGGATGCGGTCATAAGCATGGGTTGCTAGGTAACAGCCTTAGCGGGAGTTGGAACTGATGCTCCACGGTACACTGACGATGTAGCTGCTGGAAAAGGCAGCATGAAGGGGGTTACTATCCCCCCAAGACCACTATTTCAGATGCCTACAGCCTTGGGCAGGGATCTGGCTGAACCCAGCACACAGGCGATGCTGGTGGAAGCCCTGAAGGCCCCCTGCCCCCGGTAGGCCCCAAGGGGCCCTCAGCATATTAGTTTCTATTGCTGCTATAACAAACTACCACAAACTTACAGGCTTAAAGCAACACAAATTTGTTATCTTCCAGGTCTGTAGGTCAGAAGTCTAAGTTGGCTTGGTTGGTTCTCTGTTCCCGGTCTCAGGAGGCTGAAATTAAGGTGTCAGCAGGGCTGAGTTCCTGTCTGGGGACAAATCTGCTTCCAAGCTCATTCAGGTTGTTGGTAGAATTCAGTTCCGTGTGGTTGCAGGCCTGAGGTCGCTGTTTCCTTGCTGGCTGTTGGCTGGGGTCGTTCTCGGCATCCAGAGGCTGCCCTCCTTCCTTGGCTGTTGGTCACCTTCCTCTGCCTTTGAAGCCAGCAACAGCAGGTTGAGTCCTTCTCAGATTTTGAATCACTCTTATCTTCCCTGCTACCACATCTCTTCAAGTATTCTTCTGCCATCCTCTTCTGCTGCAGCTGACTCTATCTAGCCAGAGAAGTTGTTCAGCTTTTAAGGGACTAAGTCTTTAGACTGGATAATCTAGAATAATCCAGGACCTTCTATTTTAGGGTCCTCCATAACATTACTGATCTCTGCAAAGTCCCTTTACTGCACTCTTCACATTATTGGATAGCCTGGGGACTGGAGCTAGGAAGGATAGCTTTAGAACTCAGCAGACCACACCCGGTTTCCTGCCAGGGCAGGGGCAGGAACCCCCGCCAGGGGGCTCCACATGGGAACTCATCGTGTGGACTCCCTTTGATGCCAGGCTGGGGAATGTGGTCCCTAGAGTCCAGTTGCTCCTCCGTGGACACCAAACGCTAGACAAGGGATGCAGGAATCTTGGTGGTCAGCTCACATTCTCTGCCACTCCTAGCAGATCCAAGGCCAGCATCCTTCTGCAAAATGCCCATGGGGCACATATGAAAGCCCAAGGCCTGGCACAAGCTACCAGTCCTTTCAGCTGCAAGAACCTTTTTGGTGGTCTGTGGAAGAGGGCCAAGTCTCCAATAGGCCTTTTTTTCCTCATGTCTGCCCCAAAGCTCCTTGTTCAAGTTTTAGGTCCAGTTCAAATGTCACTTTCTCAAAGACATCTTCCTTGATTCCCTAGCATTATTGTTCTTTTTCTTTCCTGTACTTTCCACATCTTTCCTGATTCTCAAATCAAAATTAATCCTGAAATTCTACAGTGTACCAGGCCCAGGGGACTCAGGGTGGGATCAAAGGCTGGGCAACAGGGAGCCATCACTGGCCAGGGCTCCAGGGGCGCTTTCCCCAGCCAGGTACTGGGGGCACTGGGGCCGCCATCACGGGCCAGTCACCATGGAAGCAATTACAGACCCAGCGCAGCGACGGCGCCATTACACGTCGACGGCTCCGAGGACCAGGCAAGAGGTGGTATCGGAGAGGGGACGCCGTCAAGTGCCTGGGGGCTGTTCAGGGCTCCAGGGGCTCCATCACGTGCTGCGGGTGCTGTCACGTGTCCGGGGTGCCATCACGTGTCTGGGATGACGTCACGTGCCAGAGCTCGAAGGCCTGTCTCTGCAGCCGGCATCTGCAGGGCCTCATGGCTGCCCCGCCGTCCCGCCGCAACGCTGGGCCTGACGCCTCGAAGCTCTCGGTCCTGCGCCGCCATGTCCTGCTTCGGCTCCTTCTGCTGCCGCTGCTGCCGCCGCCGAACCAGGGTGAGGCGGGCACCGCCTCCTTCTCCGCCCCGCCCCAGCTCCACCCTCTGCCCCTCTACATAACCCCCGAACCCCCACTGCTGCTCCGCCAGCTCCCGGCCTGGCGTTAAGGCAGGGGTCTGGTCCCAGGCTGTGGCTGTCTCTTCTAGCCTTCAGGGTCACTGTGCCCCCATTCTCCCCGCCACCAGCTCCCGGTCACTTCTCCTCCAGGGTTTCGCCAGGGCTATTCTAGGGGTCTTAAGCTTCTGCCCTCTACTCTGGCCTCCTCCTTTGGGCCACACCTGCCCTACAGCCTCTGGGGACCAGCAGTCCGGAGGACTCATGCTTTTTCTCCTCGGCGGTTCTTGCCCTGTCAGTCTGGACATCGCGCCTACAGTCCGAACCCCGCTCTCCACAGCACCCTTAGGTGTCTCACACGCTACCCCTCCACCCCAGGCTCTCAGCGACGCCCCGAGGCAGCTGAGCACCCCTGGAGACCTCGCTTGAGCATTCGTTCTGGCCCAGGTAGATTCGTGGTCTCCAGCCTCGGCGGCCCTGAGCCAGCCCATCCGTCCTTCCTCATCCTTCTAATGTAAACAAATATTTCAAAATTCACCTTCTCCCAAAACCCTCTTTCAACCCAGTGTGCATCACTAGCAGTCTCTTCATTGACTAGAAAATGAAGGCCCTGGATTGCTGTCTCCCTTCACTCTCCCCAACCCCTGGGAGCCCCTCCAGACCTGACTACATCAACACCATCCTCACCTACTTGTTCAGGGATCCAAGAGACATGCCTTAAGGTCAGCCTACTCACCAGTGCCCTTGACTGCGGGCCCTCCCTGTCCTGTGTTCCCTCAATCACCCTCTCCCACATAAATCTTTATTCTCGCCCTTCCTACTCGCTGTTTCCTCACTGTCTCTTCCCCCTTCACAGCCAGGCTTCTCAAAAGAAGAGCTTCATACTGATGCTTCCTCACTTCCTCCTTAATCCTCAGCCCATTCCTGCCACGTCTCTGCTCTTACTGTCCCTGACCTTTCTGCCACTCCTTTTTGCTTTCTTTGGTCCTTTGGTTTCTCTCAGACTTTTGTCTCCTGATTCTCTTCTACCTCAAGGATAACTCTCACTTTCCTCTGTGCCCCTCCCAGACCACCCATGCTGTATTTGTCCCTGATGTATCGGTGTTCCCCAAGGCACTGCTTGGGTTCCCTTTTTCCTTCCCTCTTCACTGCTCCTTAGGTGAACTTACTAGCTCTGGGCATTGATCTGCCATTTATATGATGATGCCTCACAAAATGATGTGTGTGGATGTGCAGTTATCTGCTGGACATCTCCACCTGAATGATCTAGAAACATCTCAACCCTTGCGGTCCAAAACAGAACCCCTCATCTTCCTATAAATCGGCTTCTCTAGCTCAGAGAATGGCATCCACCCTTCTCCAAAACCAGAAACTGGAGTGTCATCCTAGAGTCATCCCTTTCCCTAAGTCTACATCCAACTCTTGCTGCCACTTCCTTGTTTCAGACGTCCTCATTTCTTGCCTGGGTTCTATAGTCTCCATTGGGATCTCATTGCCCCCAGTCTGGTCACCTTTTCTGTCTGTTCTCTATACTGCCTTCGTAATACAGACCTGATCAGGTGACACCTCTATTGGCTTCCCTCCTCCCAGGGGTCTGTCCAGGCTTCTTGGCCTGGCTTACGAGGCCCTCCATGGTTGACCCTTGACTCCTCCTCCTTGGCATCAACCCTTACCATCACAGGCTGTGTCCTTCAACCTCTGGAATCTCCGACACACACCATGGTGTTTCTTCCGCGAGAAATGTCATTATCACATTTAATTTCTGTTTTACCTTCTCATCTTTAAGTTCTTGCAAATAACTCATCCTTCCAGAAGCTTCTCCTGTCCACCACTTCTTCTGGGCTCACGTGATATCTATGGCCCTGTCCCTGATCTGAACTCATGCAGGTGACTGGGTGTTCACTTCTGTCTCCCACGCTGGACAGCATGATCCTCAAGGGCAGGCTCTGTCTGATACATCTCTCTCCCCAGCTTCTGGCTCCAGGCTGGGAACAGAGTGGGAGCTCAGAAAACATTTTGTGAATGAATGAATGAAAGAAAAATTCATCTTCTCTCTGCCATCCTGTGATGACCTCTCACTTCATCTCTGTCCCCCTTCTCTTCTCCAGGTTACAAAGAGGACAAAACTATCCCAGGTGGGTTGAGTGAGTCCCCGCTGCAGGAGAAGCTCGGGGTCATGGGCCCAGATATGGGGCACATTTGTTCTGAAAGGGACCCATAGATAGTGTTTCTGGGCCTGTAGGAAACAGGAATTCAGTCTAAGAGATCTGCTTTCTAAAGAACAGCCTGTAGCTGCTGGGACATATAGAACTAACAGTCCCCAGGAAAGACTATCTGGGCCTTTTGTGGGATTGCAGAGCCTCTTAATTCAGCCCAGGCTCCGTCCCATCAGGATGTGAGGCCCATCCTGAGAAAACATGTCCAGGAAGCTGACACAGGCCCTTTTCCACCCATAAACCTTTTGGGCTCTAAACCCAAATGGAGCATATAGAGCCCCCTGGGCCCTGTGGCTGGGTCTGCAGAGCTTGCTGTCTTCCTGTCCTTTTCCTTAGACCTCAAGAGTGGAGGATTGGGTTGCTTTTGCTCTTGGGTTCATGGGTCTCCATTGTCACTGGTCCTGCCAAGACTTCACACTGATTCGTTATTGATTGTTTGGTTAATTGATTAAGTTAGTTACTCCTGCTTATGTCCCTGCTCACTCCCATCCCCCTCAGCTTTTCTTAGATGTTCCGTGAGGTCCTTGCTGTTTGTGTGTGTTCTTGTAAAAACGTATGCTGTTGTTTTGTGTGCACGTATTTCATGTATTTTTAATTTACATAAGTGGTATGTGCTCTACATATTTTTCCTGTTTGTACTCTTTTCATTCAACTCTCATTTTAAAAGCTTGTTATTTGGAAGTTATTTTAAACTTACAAAACATTGCAAAAATAAAAATAGTACAAGGAACACACACAACACACACACACATACACACCCGCACACACAAAATGTTTTTCAGAATCATTTGAGGGTAGAATCCAGCATGGCTCTTTATCCTCGAGTGCTCCAGTGTGTATTTTCTAAGAATATTCTCTTACATAACCACAGAACAGTTATCAACTTCATAAATTTACATTGATACCATACTTTTAGGAGCCCTGGTGGTGCAAACGGTTAAGCTCTTGGCTGCTAATTGAAAGATTAGCAGTTCGAACCCACCCAGCTGCTCTTCGGCGGAAGGACGTGGCGATCTGCTTCCATAAAGGTTACAGCCAAGAAAAGCCTACGGGGCAGTTCTGCTCTGTCACATGGGGTTGCTATGAGTCAGAATCGACTTGACAGCACCCAATAACAACCATACTTTTATCTATTGTCCTCATTCCAATTTGGTCAGCCCTTTACACTCTTATCAGCAGTGCCTTAAGGTGTATATGTTGCCACATTCCTACCAACCCTTGGCATGATCCAGAAAATCTTGATGGGTTTTTTTTGCCAGTCTCTTAGGTAGAAAAATGACATCTTGATTTACTTTGCTTTGTTCTGATTAGTAAAGAGTTTGAGCATCTCTCAATGTGCCCTTGGCCTGTCTTTATCCTTTGTATATTGTCTGTTGATCTTCCTTTTGCTTGTTGATTTCCTAGAGTTCCTTGTGTATTTCTGATAAAAAGTCTTTGACTTATTTTAGATATTGCAAATATTGTCTCCCCATCTGTCATCTCCCTGTTAATTTTGTTCATGGAGCCAAAAATCCCTGATTGTAAGGTACTCGAGTTAATGAGTTTTATGGTTTATATTTTGAGGTTTTGTTTAAGGGGGTCCATTCCCACGCTATGTCACATGGTCTCCTGTTAACTTCCTAGTTTTACCATTCACATTTAGGTCTTGAAGTGCTATAGAAAGGAATCCAGTTTCTTTTTATTTCTTTTATGGTTAGCTAGTTTTCCTTTGGAGCCCTGGTGGCACAGTGGTTAAATGTTCACCTGCTAACCGAAAGGTCAGCAGTTCGAATCCATAAGCAGCTCCTTGGAAACCCTACGGGGCAGTTCTACTCTGTCCTATAGGGTTGCTATGAGGCAAAATCAACTGGACGACAATGGGTTGTTGTTTTTTGTTGTTGTAGTTTTCCTATACACACTGATTGTAGTGGCTCCATTATTTATATTAAGTTCCTATATTACATAGAACAATCTCAAGCTCCCTTTTCTTTTCCGTTGGTCCATTTTTCTGTTCTTGTATCAATACCACACTGTTTTTGTCATTATAGCTTTGATATGTGTCTTAACATCTGCCAGTACAAGTGTCCTTTCCTTGCTCTATATTTTCAAAATATGAGCTATTCATGGACCTTCATTTTTGGAACTTTACTCTTCTATTTCACTTTTAGAATTAGTTTCTAAAAAAACTCTAACTATTGGAAAATGAATTTGTATGTTAATTTTGGGGAAAAGTTACATCTGAAATATTAAGTTGTTCTATTTAAGAGCAAGGAATGTCTTTCTATTTATGCTGATCATTTTCAGTGTCCTTTATTGGAGTTTTAAATTTATTACCACAGAAATTTTGTGCAGTGTAGAAGAAGTTAATTCCTGAGTACCTTGTAATTGTTTGCCACTGAGTATGTAACTTATTTTGAATATAGTTTCTAGTTGGTTGTGTTGGAGTAGAGAAATGTTATTGACTTTAAAAGTAAATTGATTTATTGAAGTATTACATACATGAAAAATAGTGCACAAATCACAAGTGTCCATATCAAGGAATTATCACAGTGAACACACTGTATAACCACCACTCAGGTCAAGAAAAAGAACAATACCAGCACCCAGAAGCCCCCTCCAAGCGTCTTGCCATTGAGTTGATTCTGACTCATAACGACCCTTTAGGACAGAGTAGAACCGCCCCATAAGGTTTCCAAGGCAGTAAATCTTTACAGAAGCAGACTGCCACATCTTGATGGGTTTGAAATGTCGACCTTTTGGTTAGCAGCCGAGTGCTTAACCACTGCACCATCAGGGCTCCTGAGGGTCCCTCACGCCCTCTCAATCACTTCCTCTGCTTTACTCCTGCAAAATATCCCATTATTCCTAGCTTCTGACAGTATAGATTCGTTTTGCCTGTTCTTTAATGTTATATGATGTTTGCTAGGTTTTTTTGGCATGTAACTTTTATAAAGTTAAGGATTTTCCTTCTATCCCTAGTTTGTTGAGGGTTTTTTTTTTTTTTAAGTCATAGATGTTGAATTTATGTGTTGAATTTTTCAAACGCCTTTTTTCTGTATCTATTGCGAACAACACATGATGCTTCTCTTTTAGCCTGTTTATGCGTTGAATACATTGAGAGCTCTTCCAGCTTTGGACCACTCTTGCACTCCAAGGGTAATCTCTACATAGCCATAATGCATTGTTTTTCCAAAATTCATGTTAGTTAATATTTTATTTAGAATTTCTGCATCTATGTTCATTCATAGTGAAATGGGCCAACAATTTTTCTTTTCTGGCATATCATCTTAATTTGGTTTTGGTATGAAAGTTATACCAGCCTCCTAAAATGAGTTGGGCAGTTCTCCTCTTTTTTTTTTCCAATGTCCTGGATTAATTTATATGACACAGGACTTAATTGTTGTACCTTGAAAGTTTGGTAGAACTCATCCGTAAGCCCATCTATGAGGAGGGGTGGTTGTTGTACCTTGAAAGTTTGGTAGAACTCATCTGTAAGCCGATCTGTGAGGAGGAGTGGTGGTTGATATCATTTCTATATCTGTCATGCTTATTGACCATTGGTGTCTGGGTTGGGATCTGTGCTTTAGAGTTGTGTTTGTTCTCATCTCACTTTTAGATTCCTAGTCTTGTTCCCATCAACGTGTACTTCACCACCCCTTTGTTTACTGCTTCCGATCTGGTGGGCTCTGGGAAATCAAATCACACCACTTGATTGTTAGAACTACGTGCAAACTAAGAGTGTGTGAGTTGTGAGTTGGGGGCTTCTGTGGCCTCCATGCTGGGGCTCTTTCTGGAATGGTCTGTGGAGAGGCCTCCAATACAGAAGTCAGAAGCTTTTCTTGACTCTGAGGCAGTATGGGATGGAGGCCTTTTCCGTCTAAGAGGTGCAGCAAACATTGTAGCTTTTCAGGAGCATGGCCTGGGGACTTACCTCAGATACAAGGAAATGCATTTCTTGGTCTTGGGGCTCCTTCTCTGCTTCTTCCCTGCTTGCTTATTTTGAATATATTTTCTAGTTGGTGGTACTGGTGTAGAGAAACGTTATTGATTTTAAAAGTAAAGTCTATTTTTCCAAATTGATTAAAAAATTTTTTTAAAGTAAAATCATTCTTCCCATACATGAGAATGTCTGTGTACACCCACACTTACGCACCTGCACACACACCGCACAGCCCAGGCCACCCGTGTTGATTGCTCTCGGTGTATTTCAGCATCTCTCCCTCTCTTCTGCTGTGATATCTCTGTCTCTGTCTCAATGCTTTTTGTCTCTGTCTTTGTCACTTTCTGTCTAGCTCAGTGCCTTTGGATAAGCCACTGCCCTTCATCATCCTCAGCCTTCCTGTCCTTAAATGGAGCAAGTCCCTGAGTTTAGGATCTTGTGCAAATCAGCCCTCGGGGCCACCTTAGTCTCGGTCATTCTTATCCTCCTCTATGTGGCCACTGTATCTCCCAGGCACTCTTGTTCCTAAAGTTTGTGGCAAGCCCTGGTGGTTAGACAACGTGGACGTGCACCGCCATTGGCCCTGGGAGGCGAGCCTGCGCGTAAAACATGAACACGTGTGTGGAGGGGCCCTCATTGACCCCATCTGGGTGGTGACTGCCGCCCACTGCATCCAAGGGTGAGTGTGGCCCATGTGTCCAAGGCCCAGAGACCCAGAGCTACAGCGGTCCAGCCCAGCCTCCTCATTTCCTCTGGGAAGCTATGGGGAGGGAGGGGAGGGAGGGGAGGGGAGGAGGGGTTTCTGGAACAGGAAAGAGTCATGTTCAGGATCTCACAGGGGTCAGGGACTGTGCTGGGGCAGGAGCCCCGAGCAACAAAGACTGTGTCCTAAGCAGGACAATGAGGAAAATCCAGCACACATCCCCTACTCCCCCCATATGTGAGGACATCTGTGTACACCCACACCTACACACCTACGCACACATGCACAGTCCAGGCCACCTTGAATCAACCTGAATGATGAGTGAGGGGGCAAGTGCATCTCTGACGCTGAGGCCCCAAGCCACATTAGGCAGGATGGGTGAGCTGAGAAAGTCGGGCAGGGCTTCTTCCAGGGAGAGGATTCTTGGGAACCTGACACCTTCCAGGTCTGTGTGTCTCCTGCAGCACCAAAGAGTACTCAGTGATGCTTGGCACTTCCAAGCTGCAGCCCGTGGACTTCACCAGGGTCCTCTTGATTCCCGTGAGGGACATCATTTTGCACCCCAAGTACTGGGGCCGGACCTTCATCATGGGTGATGTCGCCCTTCTCCAGCTTCACACTCCCGCCACCCTGAGTCAGTACGTGCAGCCCATCTGCCTGCCGGAGCCCAACTTCCACCTGAGGGTTGGGACTCAGTGCTGGGTGACCGGCTGGGGCCAGATTAAGCAGCGTTTCTCAGGTGAGTGGGGTGGGATGGAGTGGGGTGTGTGGTAGCACAGAAAGTGCAGGTTTTTCTTCCTGGGCCCAGCCATGGTGCCTCTCGGGAAGCTGTGGCTGATACCTCTGGCCCCTGGTTCTCTGGGTGTGTTGGGGCTGCTCCTTATGTGGGAACCATTGCCACGGTTTGCACCTCTGTGCTTGACCTGGGCACCTCATTCGCTCATTCAGGCCCAGCAGTGCCTAGGCTGGGCATCATCATTTGCCTCTTCTGGAAGCTCAGAGATAGGGATTCATAAATTCACTCACTCACTCACTTACTCCCTCCTTCACTTGACAAACTTGGCTTTGAGAATGCATGCCCTGCCAGTAAGGAGCTTGCAGCAGAGTTGGGATTAGGGGTGCAGGCTGGCAAGAAGAGGGGCCAAGACCTGGTCAGGTGGTCTTGAGATCAAGCCGGGAGGATCTGGGATGAGCTCTGGCGGAGAGCCTGCCTGAAATGCCTGAAAGAGGAGCCAGTGTTAGTCAGATGGCAGAGGGAACAGCCAGTGCAAAGCTCAAGGCTGGGGAGGAGCAGCACATTGCTGGGGTCTGCACTGGCACTTGGACCGAGGCCTACTTTGTTCTGAAGTGAAAGCCTCCCAGAAAAGGGGATCCCAAAACATAGCCTTAGAGGATGAGGGGCTTGCCGCACCTGGTCTGCACTGCAGGGGGAAGGCGTCAAGTGAAGGAGGGTATGGAGGTGTGAAAAGGTGTGGCTCGGCTGAGCCTTGAGGTTGGAGATGAGCGAGCGCTGGGAATAGGTCAGGGCTGGATGAGAGTCAGTGCTCATTCCTGTTGGGGCTTCTCCACAGCCAACTCCACGTTGACCCCAGAGCTGCAGGAGGCCGAGGTCTTTATCATGGACAACAAGAGGTGTGACCAGATTTACCACAAGAAGTCCCTCTTCCCCCGTATTATCCCCCTTGTCCTGGAGGACATGATCTGTGCCACCAATTATGGAGAAAACTTGTGTTATGTGAGTTTCTGGGAGATTCTGGCAACTCTCCTTCCGTTTGGCATGACTCCTGGGGGGGTAGGTGGAGGGACAATTCCCTGGGGAGGGGTCCCCTTGGCCTCCCTCTTTGTCACCATCATAGGCGGTGCTCTGCTCCCAACTTCCTTCGCCTGTGACTTTGATTTTGGCTGATATTCTGGGCTGGGAGTTACTGGTCAGTGCCTGGGATGGGGCCCTCAACTGAGGAGCTGAAGGAAGAAACGCAGGTAGTGAGATCCTCCAATCTGAGGCTCCAGGACCGAAAGAATCTTTCAGGCAGAACTCAGATGATGGGCATCCTGGATCCCCTGGGGCCCAGTGGGCCCAGCTGGACCCAGAGCCTCCATCACTCCTCTCTCTTTGCCTAGGGAGATTCTGGGGGGCCTCTGGCCTGCGAAGTCGAGGGCAAATGGATTCTGGCTGGTGTGTTGTCCTGGGAAAAGGCCTGTACCAAAGCGCAGAATCCAGGCGTGTACATCCGTGTCACCAAATACAGCAAATGGATCAAGAAGCAGCTTGATGGGGCTGTCTCAGGCCCCCGTGCCTCCATGTGGCTCCTACTCCTGTCCTGGCTGCTGCAGCCCCAGATGGGCCCCTGACTTCCCCTCTTCCCCTCCTTCCTCTTCCTCCTTCCCCTCTGCACCCTCTGCTGAGTGGGGGCAAATCCAGGTTAAACCAAGGTCATGTGTCCATGTTCAATAGGAACCAGGGTGGGGAAGGAGTGGCCCCAGGAGACTGGGTCCTTCTTTGACATCCCAGCCAGGAGGGGTGGGGTGGCTGACTGGGCCCTGTGTGACCAGGAGAAGGGCAGCGTGGCCTAGAATGGTTCTGGAATCTTGGACCAGATAGCAGGGATTAAAGTTGTGTAACTGTGAGCTGGCTCTCTTCTCTTTCCTGGGGTGGCCTGGTGGTTGGGGTTAGGGGTGAATGTGAGGGCAGGGCCTCCTGGAATTAATTCTGGCCCACAGGCTCCCCAGAGTCAGGGCTGATGGATTTTTGCCATAGCACTAGAGCTGGGGCATAGGAAAGGGACCTTGGCTTGCCCTTCCTTGTTTGTCAAGTGGGCGTGCTGTGAGGGTGCAGTCGGAACACGCCCTGTAGGCAGACAGTAGGAAGGATCTACATACGGCACTCTAAAATCAGCTTTCTTTCTTTCTTTTTTTTTAATGGTATTTTAAAAAAATCTGATTTTTACATGATCATTGTAGAAAATTAGGTAAACATAATAACGCCTAAAGAAAAGAAACGTCCCTGGAGGACCTATGCAGAGACATCCACCCTTCTCATTTCCGTGCATTTCCTTCTGCTTTTTTTTTTTTTTCAATTTTCTATAAAAATTTTTCACAATTAAAAAATTAATTTTGTCTTTTTAAGAAAATTTAGAAACAACATCTGAGTACATTCTTGTGCTCTACTAAAATTATTCAGAAATATATATAAATAAATATAAAGATTCCCTGTCTCTCATCCATCCCCGCCACCAATCTTGTGCTCCTGTCTAGAGGTAATCACTGTTAACATTCTTATATAAAACACTTCATCATTTTTTAAATAACTAGGATCTTATATGTGTATTAGTGTCCCTGGCTGGCGCAAACCATTAAGCTCTTCACTACTAGCTGAAAGGTTGGCGGTTTGAATCCACCCAGAGGCTCATGGGAAGACAGGCCTGGCTATCTGCTTTTGAAAGGTCATGGCCTTAAAATCCCTGTGGAGCAGCTGTACTTTGCACACATGGGGTTGCCGTGAGTCAGAACTGACTCAGTGCCAACAAACAACACAACAATAAGTATATCATTATTAACCTATTTTTTTTTTTTTTTACTTATATGACTTGAAAAGCTTTCTATGTCTGTACCTAGGGCTATTCTTCATATTTTTAAACTACTGCATGTATTCTGTGTGGATGTGATGTCTGCTATTTAACCAGTCCATTTTTAGATTGTTTCTGACTTTTTCATTGTAGAAGTGACACTTCCGAGCATTTTCACAGCTGTGCTCCTGGGAATGGGACCCAGGGAGGACAGTCAAAGGAAAGACAAATTTAATAATTTTGGATGAATACTATCAAATTTGTCCCTCCCAAAAGCTAAACCAGTTTACATTCAACACCTATGGTATATGAGAATGAATGTTTCCTCTTTTCCTCAAAATGGATATTATTATTACTATTTTATTTTATTTTATTGTTGTACTTTAAGGGAAAGTTTACAGTTCAAGTTAGTCCTCCACACAAAAATTTACACATACATTGTTATGTGACCCTAATTGCTCTCCCTATACTGTGACAGCACACTCCTTCTTTCCACCCCTGATTTCCCGTGTCCATTCAACCAGCTCCTGACCCTCTCTGCCTTCTCATCTCACCTCCGGACAGGAGCTGCCCATTTAGTCTCATGTATCTACTTGAGCTGAGAAGCACACTCTTCACGAGTATCATTTTATGACCCAAATGGATATTATTAATATTTTAAATTTTTGTCCATCTGATGGCAGAATATGATCTCATCACTGTTTTAATTTGTATTTTTTTCCCCCATCAGAAAATGTCTTTTCATGTATTTACTTTAAAAAATATACTTTATTCCTAGTGACTCCTTTGTTTATGTATGTTGCCTATTTTTCTATTGGGTTGCTTATCTTTTTTTTATGGGAGGTCTTTATCTTTTCTGAATTATATTAAGACTTTGTCTATTATTTTTTTAAAAATATTTTTGACAGTGGGTCATTTGTTTTTTAAATATATGTGGAATAGATGGGCTATTTTTACCATAAAGTCTTTTACAATTATTATGGAGTCAGATGAGTCAATCTTTACTTTCTTCCTGGGTTTTGTGTCTTGCTTTGGATAGCCTTGTCTATCTCCAGATGATACAAAGTACCTTTCTGTATTTCTTTTAATATTTTGATAATTTTATTCTTTATATTTAACTCTTTAATCTATTTGAAAATTCATTTTATGTGTGGTGTGAGCAGACAGCCAATTTCATTGACACCATTTCTTGCACAGTCTACCCTTTTCCTGCTGATTTGAATTTCCATGTTTAATCTCTGTATATAAATAGGTATGTTTTTGAACCCTCTATTTTTTCCCCATTGATTTGTCTCTCTGTCCCTGGGTCAGTGCTGTACTGTTTTAATCAGCTTTGTGTTATGTTTTGTTAAATGGTAACAAAAGCTCTCCTGTTTTTTTTTAAAAAAAGTATTGCCTATTCTACAAAGTTTGCCTGTCATAAAACTTCAGAATCAGTTTGTCAATTTTCATTAAAAATCCTATTGATATTTGAATTGGAATTATATTACACAGGTTACTTTGAGGAGAATTGTCATTTTTCCAATGTTGAGTTTCTATCCAGGGATATGATGTACCTCTCCATTCATTCAGCTCCTCATCTTTATCTTTTTTGGTAGTTAGTTTATTCATAGGTCTCTGTAAAAATATCTTATTACATTTATTCCTAAGTATTTTACAACTTTGGTTATGTTGTGAATGATATCTTTTCCCATTACATTTTTTTTCTAATTCTACATGTTAAATATTGTAAAGCTGTACAAAATTACTGTCTGGATTCTGACTATCTTGAAAAACTGTCTTGTTCATTCAAATAGTTTTTCAGATGATTCTCTTGGATGATTTTTGGGTAATCAAATCACCTAAAATGATGACAGCTTTATCTTGTCCTTTCTGAAAGTTATACCATTTATTTCTTTTTGCTATCTCTTTGCCTGAGACCTCCAGCACAATATGAAATAGTAGTGGTGATGGCGGGAGGACATGTGCTGACCCTGACTCGTTTCTTTTATCCTTTCCACAAATATTTATTGACAGTCTTCTCGGTGTCAGGCAATCTTTTGGGCCCTGGGGATGCAGTAGTGAACAAGAGACATTCATTCTAGTAGGAATGCTAGTAACTTTCATATTATTCTTATACTCTGCCTTAAAATAAAAATGTTTCCTTCTATTCTTGGCTTATATGGGATTTTAAATTGTTTTAATCAGGAATGACTGTGGTATTTAATCAGATGCATTTGGAGCATTTATTGAGATGATTACATGATTTTTGAAATTTAATCTATTCAACTAGTGAATTATATTACTAGATCAATAAATGTCTTATGTAAATGCTGTAATATGCTGCAGATTCAATTTACCGACATTTTGTTTAGAATTTTGGCCCCAATGTTAGAATTGGCCTACAATTTTCCTTTTTGTTCTACCCTTTGCTCAAATTTGGTTCGTTGCTATGCTAGCCTCTGAGAACGTATTAAGAAGCTTTCTAGTATTTCCCTATGCCCTAGAGCAGTTTGCATAGCACCAGCAGTATCTGTTCCTTATGCTTGATATAGTGTGCACATAAAACCAGCTGGGCTTGATGCCTTTTTTAGAAGACAAATCTTTGACTATAAAAATTGCCTTTATAGTTATTGGCCCATTCAATTTCCCACCTCTTTTTGAGTTAATTTTATATGTGTTCCTACAAAATCACTTACTTAGCCTACATCTTCAAATATATTGTATGACATTTACACTTATGGTCCCTTTTCTATTTCTAGTATAATTTGTATATGTATTCTCTCCCTTTTTCTTAACAAGTAAAGATCAGAATTGCCAAATTTTGGTTGATTTCATGAATCTTTTCAAAGAACCGTGTGGTGGACTTTTACTGGTTAACGTCACAGCATCCTTCCTTTCCTTTCCCTAGCTGTCGCCTGTCCCTGGTCAGGGGCCCACACCTCTGCATGCTGCCGGTGCTTTTCAAGGGAAGCTGCTACCCTCACAGCTCCCAGAGCTTGATCTAGTTGGCATATTCCAGCGCCCTGGACTCCTAACGCCAGTCGGGTGCTGATCTAGACCGTCCCAGTGAGCATAAGGCATGGTTAGAGGAGAGACTGGAGCTCTCTCTCTCTCTGAATGTGGATAAGGAAGCAGGAGGATGTTGGCTATTGGCAACTGATTTTCAACAAGAAAACCAATTTAGGATGAAGCAGCCACCATTGAAGGCAGAGAGAAGAGATAGAAATTTTAAGCCTGTCTGAGCGGAGGTTTCTGTTACTTGGCAACTCCTCAATGGTACAGACTAACTTTTGGGTTTAGTGATCAAATCTGCTGCTTTTTTTCCACCCCTAATAAACTCCTTTTAGCTTTAGTTAGCATTAGTAATTCCAACTTTCTACTTTTTTGGGAGGAATTATTTTATTGTTCTTTTTCTCACTTCTTAAGTAGTACGCTTAGTTCATCGTTTTAGACTTCCTTAGTTTCTAACATTTTCATTTAATTCCTCAGAATTTCCTCTGAGTCTTACTTGGGCCATATTTCACAAGATTTGATATGTACTGACATCATTGCCCTTCATTTCTATTGTAGTTTATAATTTCATGTTATTTCTCTTATTTCATATGAGAGTTATATAGATATAGATAGATGGCTGCTGTCCAGTTGTCTTCAACTCACTGAGACCTTAGGTACAGCAGAACGAAACGTCGCCAGGTCCTGCGCCATCCTCACTAACATTGCCTTTTGTGTTTTCGTTTCCAGACGCTTAGTATCTTTTTTGCCCATCAACTGCTTCATGTCACTTTGTTTTAGGTGTGTCTCTAATAAGTAGTATATGAGTGGAATTTATTTACTACACAGTATAAGAATCTTTGTCTTTTAAAAGTAGCGTTTTATGCATTCACGTGAATTGTGATATATGCTTGGTCTTTATTCAGTTATCTTATTTTGTTTTATTGATTGTTTCCTTAAAATTATTTTCCACAAAGGCAGAAAAGTAGATAGGGTCTCTTTTCTTTGGAACTTCTTTCTCTTTTTAGTTTGTGGGATATCTGTATATATGTGTGTGTACGTATATATATATATATGTGAATTTTTTACTGTGGCACATACACATATATACATACATATACATCGCGGTAGATTGCGCTCTCCCTTTTTCTCTCTATCCCTCTCTCCCCCTAGAGGAAATCTGATTGTAGGATAATTACTCCCTTGGTTTTCGACCATAGCATGCATCCCAACAAATGGTTTGTTTGCTTGTACTCTTTTGTGTCTGACTTCTTTCACTCAACTATATGTTTATGAGATTCACCATGTAGCTACGTGTGGCAGTAGATGGTCCATCCTCGTGGCTGTCGAGTGTTTCGTGCATCCATCCTGCCTTCGATGGCAGCCGGGAAGTTTCCAGTTGGGGCTCTTCCTGACGGTGCTGATGTGAACAGTCTGACTGTCTTTCCTGCTGCAAATGTGCACGACTGTTTCCAGGGCACACAGTAAGGGGAGGAACTGCCAGACTGTGGGGTAGACACCCTTTCTGCTTTCCTAGATGATTCCAGTCTCCCACAGTGGCTGTGCCGGTTCCTCTCCCCCAGCAGCATGTGAGCAGCCCTGTTACCCCACATCCTCACCAACACTGGGAACAAGGTGGAGCAAGACTGAATTGTTCTTCATGGACCGTGTGGGGAACACAAGGTCTTTGGGGAGGGGACCTCAGTGGAGTGGTGGGGAGGGGTCCCAAGATGTCATTTTTCCTGCTGATTCATGAAGACCCAGGCCTGCAAGATGCTGTGGGCATCACTTTCTTCTTGGGAAGCTGCCTTCCCAAGCCAAATACACATCTGGACTCCCTCTACCAGACCCTTTGGGAAAAAGGAAAACCAGTCTCAACTCAGTCACACACTGTAGGAATAGTCATTCCCCTCTTAGTGCCTCAGTTTTCACACCTCCAGAGGGGCCCTCAGAGGGGCTTCATAGAGGAGCACTGGCGGGGTGGGGGGGCTTCACAGATCAGGCACAGGCCAGACACGTGGCGATGTCATGGGCTGACTCAAAGCTAGGTACAGGGTCGTCTTCAAGGGCCAAGGCTGGGCATCGGTGTGCTGCTGAGGGTTGGTCCCAGGGACACTATCATAGGCCAGGTGCCAGGTGCCATCACAGGGGCCTGGCTGGGCACCAGGACCACCATCCAGGGAGGTGCCCAGCAGCAGCATCACCTCATGGCCCTGGCTGGGCCTAGCCATGGCCACACCACCTCCTCAGCATCCTGCTGCCCAAAAGCTGAGCCCCCAATCCTAGGGCAGAGGCCCTGTTGCCCTGAATGAACAAACCATGAGTTCTAGAATCCTCACACAGTGGAGATTCCTGCCTGCCCTGTCTCTGCGTCCCATTATGAGGACCAGTAAAGGCCGGGCACCTGCTTGCAATGTCTGGGTGTGAGGAGGGCCTTCTCACGTCTGCCTATTCTCCTGCCAGATATGAGAACATCCATAAAGGTAGGGCTTGGGGATGTGGGAGAGAGGCAGGAGGGGTCTGCTGTCTGGGTGCTTATGGTAGTACCTCCATGCTGAAGCGTTCCATCATCCATATCCTAATGGGCAAGTTTTTATCAGACTATGTGAGGTGAGGGGGCAGTTCTGACTTGCAGGGCAGCCACGAGCACATGAGGGAAGCGCCTTATTAAGAATGGGTGGGGGGGAGTTTGAACTAACATCCCTGGAGCAGATGGGCTTGTTTGGGAGGCAAATCTTAAGAGAAGCAGGACTTGTGATGATGATGGTGAAGATAGTGATGTGTGAATGACCGCTCATCCTGTGTCAGGCCCAGTTCATGTGGTTTTACATCTCCATAACCTGTGAGGTGGGCATTACCAGTATCCCTACTTCATCGTAGGAAACCCAGGCCTAGAGAGCTTATGAGGCTTTTAAGTGTTGGAGTCAGGACTCAATACCAGATTTCAACAGATTCTTTGAGAGGGAAAATTTTGGGACCCCAAGCAACAGAGGGTCTCTAGACTCCCACCCTAACTGACCACCACACATAATCTTGCGGTGGCAGCCCTGGCTTGGGTCACCTGCCAGCTTCCCGTTCTGCCGCTTGACAGACAACATGCTGGGGGTGGTGTCTGGAAGTTGAGGTCGTGTTCCCCAACTCACGGACTTTGCTTTTTCCATCAATGCATGACTCCCCTAAGTGAATGAATGAGTGAATGAAGGGGTGTTCTCCTCTACTCTGAACGGGCTGCACTGCCCTCAGGCATCTGTGACGTTTTAGGGTTGTACAGATGTGTACTGCTCCATGTAGCTGACTGCTATGCCTATGATGATGTGCGGATGGGCGTAGAACTCTGACTTTATAGGGACAGAGGTCATGAAGCTAATACATGTCTTCCTATGCCCATATGTGAGTGCAAGAGATGACATCAGAGTACAACTTGTAAATGGCGATGCCTCCCAGCTCTGACTCTGGGCCTCCAAGCCGGAGTAGAGGCGGGTCTGTGAGGGAATCACTTTGAACCATGGAGTGTCTGGCTATATCTGGCTGTGCGGAATGGTGACATTGTGCCTATGACAAGGGTTGATCCGCAATACCTCGAGCCTCCAAATAGTCCCTCACGGCGCCCCCCAAATTCGGCGACCGTAGTTGGTACTAGCCTCTGGTGCTCGCATCTCCAGGCTGTATCTGCAAATCCAGTGTGAGGTTTTGAGGAGGGAATTGCAGTCAGCATTGCCCTGAATTCTGAGGCGTGCTCTTCTCAGAGACCTGGGGAAACCACTGGGGATGGGGAACAGAGAGGGGAAGCCCAACCCTGCCTCCTAGAGCTATCACTTTTTAAGTGGTGGAGTTCTTTCTGCAGGGCCCTGGCTCCGTGAGGCCTCTGCTTTATGAGAAAGGAAAGGACGGCCTCCGGAAACCCTCTCCTTCCTCTCCCTGTCGATGGGGCTGGCTGTGATCTGAAACAAAAAGGTGTAAGAGAAGGGTCTGAAGTGTGGCTCCCCCTGGGGGAGACAGGAAGTAGAACAGGCTCAGGGGTGAGAGGGCAAAGCAGAGTTCTCAGCAGAAGTGGGGGTGGTCTGTGAGGAGGCCTTGGGGTCCCCGTGGAAGGCCGCTGGTTGAGGTCAAAGGCATCCAGGCCTTGACGTCTGTGGCAAGGGAGCCTGCCGTTTACTTTACGCCTGATAATACCAGGAGCCTGGGGCCCACGGTACGTATGGGCCTAGACAGCAAAGGTTGGTCACTCCCGAGGGATTTCCACAAGGCGGGCCCGGGAAGATGTTTCTGTTAACACGTATGGGTCACCAGAGATTCGTAGCCTTGTCTGTTTGTTGTTGTTCTCGCCCCTCGGCCCCCACGGACTCTCCCAGGTAAGAACAAGCCTTGCTCACCGCTGCCGAGTCCCTGCTTGGCCCCGCACGCTGAGCTCGGCATGAAACTGAGACTTTCTGTAACCACGACAGCTGGTGACGGTGTGAACCTGTGTCCAGCTTCGCCTCTGTGAGGAGGTCCGTGGCCACCTGTAACAGTGTATTGACCAGTCTTACCTTGACAGCAGGGTACCGCCGAGAACTTGTTTTCTTTTTCTTTCATCTTGCCGAGGCTTCTTTCTCCCTTTCCTGTCCTTAATGAGGCTCGCTTATTAAATGCCAGACAAGCTTGGGCCAGTTTAAAATCTCGGTCTCTAGGGCAAACAATAACACAATGTGAAGAACGTGTTTCGTTCTTCAATCGTGTATATGAGACCAAATGGGCCCACCAGCCCAAAAGCCAAATGAGAAGACAGGAAGGGACAGGAAAACTGAACGAATGGAAACAGGGAGCCTGGGGTGGAGAAGGGAAGAGTGTTGACACATCAGCAGGGTTGGCAACCAATGTCACAAGACAATCTGTGTATTAATTGATTAATGAGAAACTAATTTGCTGTGTAAACTTTCACCTAAAGCCCAATAAAAAAATAAATAAAAATAAAAAAGTAAAATCTCAATCTCATACCCAGCTCAGTGCAGCCTCCTCCCCTCTCACCCCCTCCCTTCAGGGCAGCTCCCCCTGTATGTGGGGGCCAGTGAGGGGTAAGGAGGGGGTAGACGAGCGTCACCACTCACTGCGTGGCCCAGAGGTGGTAGTCTGCAGGAAGCTGGCCCTGGGGCTGGACAGTGAAGCCTCACTGTCTGTTTCTTCAGGCCGCCCTGCCCACTGAGCCCTGCCGTTCACCTCAGGCTGACGGCTCTCCTCTCTGGTGATTCTCACTCCCACTACCATCTGTGTAACTCTGGAGCTGGGATTAGCCCTGGGTGACGGCTCAGCTGCCTCATAACAAGTCCTGGAGAGGCTGTCCGGTCTCTGTTGTTTGGGGGTTGCCCTTATTTTATATCAGTGGGGTACCTGCTGCCTCTGGGTCTTTGGTTGCCAGTTTCAGGGCGGTGGGAAAAGCCCCTCCCCCCATGGACATGTGGCCCTGGCTGCTCGCGTCTGGGCTGGAAGGTGACTCTGCCTCGAGAGTCTGCAGTGCGCAGGGCTCTGAGTGAGAGCTGCCTGTGGCTGCCCGAGGATCTGCGCGGGGCTAGCACAGCCCCTGTCTACTCTTTCCCCAGTGCCCTTGTTCGGGGTCTGTGGTCAGACCAACATCTCCTGCAGGGTGGTGAAGGGGAAGGTGGTGGAGGAAGGCAAGTGGCCATGGCAGGTGAGCATCCTGTTTCTGGGCGTGTATATCTGCAGTGGCTCCATCTTCCACGAGCAGTGGGTCCTCACGGCTGCACACTGCTTACAAAGGTCAGTCAGAGAGGCCAGCTGGTCCTGGGCTTTGCCTTCTGGTGAGGGCAGAGGAGGGGGAGTAGGGGTGACCGGTGAATCTGGGGCTCTGGGAGGAGGGGGCCTGGCTCGGTGGCCACTTCCAGCCTCCCTACAGACAGTCCACCTCCCACCCGTGACCCTGCAGATCCAGGAACGCAAGCCAGTACTCCGTCAGGGTGGGACACCGAAGCTCCCCTGAAACTGACATTCAGCTCCCGATCAATCACATCGTGATCCACAAGAGCTTCAACAATCTCGCGTCCCAGGACATTGCCCTCCTGAAGCTCCAGAATACCATCTCCTGGTCCCCCAACATCCAGCCCATCTGCCTTCCCGATGCCCAATACAAGCCACTTCTTGGCTCCATATGCTGGGTGATCGGGTGGGGACAGGTAGGGAAACAAGGTGAGTGAAGGCAGGCGGAAGGGCCCAAGACACCCGCCTGCTCAGAGCACAGATCCTCCGCCCCACCATAAGCTCTGCAGGCCATTCCGTTATCCACTTGTTCACTCAGCCAGCAGGCATTTCCTGAGTACCTAACCATGCCATACACTGTCCTTACCTCTGTGGATATGCAGATATACACGGCGTGGTCTAGTGGAAAAGACACACGTGGCCTGCATGGACCTCAGTCCCCAAAGTCACGTTAAATCCAATGAGAAGCCTCTACCCTGTGGCATTGGCAGGAAAAGACTCTTTGGCCATCACTGGGGTTCCCTGTCTGCAGTTTGTACAAGGGCCACAGCTCAGGAAGTACTGAGGCATCCTGATCACTGGTTATCTTGAGGCACCCATAATTCCTGGATGTCTGGCCCCTGTTGGTGTCACCCTGGGGTCCTGGATCTGGGGGCCCTTTTGGGGTCCTGCCTTCCAGGGGTGCCATGTAGCCAGTCACTTTGGGATCTTGCTACCTTGTTGGGCAGCTATGGAGCAGTGCTTAGCTCCCCATTGTCATGGAACCTGAAATTGTGGGGAAATCTCTCCTTGTCCCCATTCGGTGCCTGGATGTCCCCCGACCCCCCTGGGAGACCCTTGTTTAGTCTGTCTAATGAGCTGGGGCTTTTACAAAAGTCATGCTGTAGGCTGAGGCCTTTATGAATTACCATTGCAGGAAGTGGCCCTGCCTTCCACATTAGCAAATTCAGACTACTCTGAGATGGAGTTGGGCAGAAGAATTACGGGGATGCCAGGCAGGATCTCTCTCTTCTCAGGGACCACAGCGTCCTCAGTGACATCGACATCTGCCCCCTACAGTCTTCAGGAGATAGCTATCAAGATCATTCACAATGACATCTGCAATCAGAGATATCGATTCCTCCTCAAGAGGGGCGAGAAGTTCTTCATTGGGAATGACATGCTGTGTGGCATATCACAACGGGCCGTGACCTCTTGTCAGGTGAGGAGAGTATGGACTGGGGCTTTGGGGGGCGTGCCTTCCTTATGGCATGGCACTGGGACTCCTTGTTCCTCTGGATCTCAGTTTCCCAGTCAGTAAAACGGGGGTGCAAATACCCTTAGCATGTCTGCAATGATGGCAATAACGGCAGTGATTTTCAGATCATTTTAACACTTCTGAACACGTGCCCAGATCTGGGCCAGGTGCTGGCAGAACCAGCTTTGATAAATGAAATCATTCTGTAAACATGCGTCTGCCACTTGCATCTTCCATTCTACAGTCTGCATTTTAGATTTATCCATATCGATACATGCAGCTCTTATTCATTAATTAACAATTCTGTAATATTCTCTTTTGTGAATACACCACAATTTACCCATTTTCTTGTTTATAAACATTGAGGTAGTTTTCCATTTTTTCATATCACCAACTCTGCTGCTCTGAATATTCTCACACACATATCCCTATTTATGTGTTCCAGGATTTCTGAACAAGATACATCCTGCATGGAATTGGTGGGGCATAGGCTGTGCATACCTTCATCTTTGATAAATCCAGTTGCTGTCAAGCTGACGGCAAGCTGACACTCATGGCGACCTCATGTGTGTCAGATTAGAACTATGCTCCATAGAGTTTTTAAAAATAATATTTTATTGTGCTTTTGTTGAAAGTTTACACAGCAGGTTAGATTCCCGTTTAACAATTACCACACATATTGTTCAGAGACATTGGTTACATTTTCCACAATGTGTTAACATTCTCATTAATTCCCTTCTGGATGTATCACTTCCAGTAATCTGGTTTCCCTGTCCCCTTATCCTTTCATCTCTGCTTTGGAATGATTGTTGACCATTTGGTCTTACGTAGATGATTTTTTAAAGGTGCACAGTACTTATTGGTAATATTCTTTATTTTATGAGACAATCTGTTATTTGGCTACAAGGTTATTATTTACTACCCAGGGGATAGTTTTGGTTCAAAGTTTATGAAGTATCTCAGGGCGATAGTCTTGGGGACTCCTCTAGTCTCTATGTGTCCAATAAGTCTGGACTTTTTAAAAACTGAGCTCTGTTCCACATTATTTCTCCCTTTCTATCAGGATCCATCTATTGTGGCCCTGATCGAAATGGTCATTAGTGGTAGCCGGGCACCATCTAGTTCTTCTAGTCTCAGGGTAGATGAGGGTGAGGTTCGTGAAGACTATTAGTCCTGTAGACTAATTTATTCTTTGAGACTTTGGTTTCTTTCTTCCTGTTTTGCTCCAGATGAGAAGATACTGATAGTTGTATCTTAGATGGCTGCTTGCAAGCTTTTAAGACCCCAGATGCTACTCACGTAGCATAAACTTTACGTAGAACGTAAACTTCGTGAACTATATTATACCAACTGACTGAGTTGTCCCACAAGTCTATGGTCCTAAGGCTTCAACCCCAGAAAAACAATCCTGTGAGGTGTTTGGTTTTATCTAAGAAATATCCATAACTGTGTCCCCTATATGCTTTATTGTATATATGAACATACATACATGTACACACATGTATATGTGTATACATATGACCACATACATGCACACATATACACACCTGTGCACATGTATGTATACATACATACATATGTAACCACATATAAATTTTTTGGTTGTTGCAAAATTATATATTTTCTAACATTTACCAATTATGTCCTTTGTGTGTGTACTTCTTAGTGACATCATTTACCTTGGTCAAGCTGTGCACACTTCACCCACATTCAGTGTTTGTTACTTTTCCCATTACCAAAAATAACAAGTGTCTACTCTTTAAAGAGTGATTGTCCCTCTCCTCACCCACCCCTCTCTGGTAACCACCAATGAATGCTGGTTTCTGTATGTATACATATTTTTGTCTTTTTATAAAAGTGGGATCTTGCAATATTTGTCCTTTTGTGATTGACTTATTTCACTCAGGGTAGTGTTCTCCAGATTCATGTTATGTTTCGAGGATGTATAATTATTCTTTATGGTTGCACAGTATTCCATTGTATATATGTACCACATTTTGCTTATCCATTCCTCCATTAATGGGCATTTAGGTTGTTTCCATCTTTTTGCTTTCGTGAATAGTGCTGCAATGAACATAGGTGTGCATTTGTCTCTTCGTGTCACTTCTATTAGGTCTCTAGGGTGTATACTTAGGAGAGGAAGCGCCATACTGTTTTCCATAGTGGTTGTACAATTTTACAGTCCCACCAGCAGTGGATAAGTGTTCCAATCTCCCCACATCCTGGCCAGCATTTGTTATTTTCTGTTGATCAGTGCCATTTTAGCATCTCTCTAATGGCTGAAGATTGCAGACATCTTTCATGTATTTGTGGGCCTCTTGAATGTCCTCTTAGTAAAGTGTTTATTCGTGTCTTTTGCCCATTTTTTAATTGAGTTTGTTTGTCTTTTTGTTGTTGAGTTGTTGACGTTTTCTATATATTTTAGAGATTAGACCCTTATCAAATATGCTGTTCCCTGTTGTGGATTGAATTGTGTCCCCCAAAAATGTGCATCAGCTTGGCTAGGCCAGGATTCCCAGTATTGTGTGATTGCCCACCATTGTGTCATCTGATACGATTTTCCTACGTGTTGTAAATTCTACCTCTATGATGTTAATGAGGTGGGATTAGAAGCAGTTATGTTAATGAGGCAGGACTCAATCTACAAGATTAGGTTTTGTTTTAAGTCAATCTCTTTTGAGATGTAAAAGAGAAAAGTGAGCAGAGAGACCTGGAGGACCTCCTACCACCAAGAGTGCAGAATCAGAAGGGGACCTCGTTTTTTTGGACCCAGAGTCCTTGTGCTGCGAAACTCTTAGATTAGGGAAGATTGATGACAAGGATCTTCCCCCAGAGCCGACAGAGAAAGCCTGCCCCTGGACTGGCACCGTGAATTTGGACTTCTAGCCTCCTAAACTGTGAGAGAATAAATTTCTCTTTGTTAAAGCCATCCACTTGTGGCATTTCTGTTAGAGCAGCACTCGATAAGTAAGAGATTCCTGAAGATTTTTTTCCCCAGTCTGTGGGTTGTCTTTTTATTCTTTTGATAAAGTCTTTTGATGGCTCCATAGAGTTTTCAATGGCTGATTTTTTGGAAGTAGATCACCAGGCCTTTCTTCCAAAGTGCCTCTAGGTGAACTTGAAGTGCTAACTTTTCAGTTAGCAGCCAAGTGCATTAACTGTGTGCAACATCAAATTTTTTTCCCCAAGTGATTGGATTAATCTATACTTGTACAGCAGTGTTTGAGAGTTCTATTGCTCCATATTCTTGCCAATCTTTGGTATTGTCAGACTATAAAATGCTTTCCCATCTGATGGCTGAGAAGGAGTACCTCCAATGTGGTTGCCATGTGTGTGTTCCTGATTAGTAATGCAGTTATGCATGCATGTTTTCATATGTCTGTTCATCATTTGGGATTCCTCTCCTATGAATCACTTATTTTTCTCTTTTGCACATTTTTCTATCATTTGGCTTCTCCTTTTTTAAATACTTTTATATTCTGGATACTAATTCTGAGGCTATTGTGCATTGCAAATATCTTCTCCTATCTTTTCACTTTGTTTATACAGTATTTTGCTGAAGAGCAATTTCAGATTTTATTTTAGTCAAATATATCCATGTTTTCCTTTTTGGTTTATGCTTTTTTGTGTCTTTTAAAATAAATCCTTCTGTTGCATTTTTTTCCTAAAAATTTGGAATTTTGATTTCCACATTTAGGTCTTGAATCCACATGGTATTCATTTTGTGAATGGTATAAGGTAGGAATCTATTTTTTATTTATTTTTCCACATGGAGTGCCAATTGTTCTAGTGTCATTCATTGACAAACCATTTCCCACGTTAACTGTCACCACCCATCTAATAAATTAACTTTCCATGTGCACAGGGGCCTGTTTCTGGGCTCTTTGTTTTGCTTCCTTGGTCTATATGTCTATTCTAGCAACAATGTTACATTGTCTTAATTATCATGTTATAGTAAGTCTGGTTATCTCATAGGTGAAGTCCTCTCATCTGTTTATCTTTCTTCAAAAATTTCTTGGCTATTCTTCATTCTTTCCTTTTCCATATCAACTTTGGAATCAGTTTAAATTCTGTTGTTGTTATTAGGTGCTGTCGAGTCGGTTCTGACTCATAGCGACCCTATGTACTGCAGAACAAAACACTGCCCAGTCCTGGGCCATCCTCACAATCGTTGTTATGCTTGAGTCCATTGTTGGAGCCACTGTGTCAGTCCATCTCATCGAGGGTCTTCCTTTTTTTCGCTGACCCTGTACTTTACCAAGCATGATATCCTTCTCCAGGGACTGATCCCTCCTGATAACATGTCCAAAGTATGTAAGACGTAATCTCGCCATCCTTGCTTCTAAGGAGCATTCTGGTTGTACTTCTTCCAAGACAGATTTGTTCGTTCTTTTGGCAGTCCATGGTATATTCAGTATTCTTCACAAGCACCACAATTCAAAGACATCAAGTCTTCTTCGGTCTTCCTTAGTCATTGTCCAGCTTTCGCATGTATATGATGCAATTGAAAATACCATGGCTTGGGTCAGGCGCTTCCTAGTCTTCAAGGTGACATCTTTGCTTTTCAACACTTTAAAGAGGTCTTTCACAGCAGATTTGCCCAACGCAACGTGTCTTTTGATTTCTTGACTGCTGCTTCCATGGGTGTTGATTGTGGATCCAAGTAAAATGAAATCCTTAACAACTTCAATCATTTCTCTGTTTATCATAATGTTGCTTATTGGTCCAGTTGTGAGGATTTTTGTTTTCTTTATGCTGAGGTGTAATCCATACTGAAGGCTGTGGTCTTTGATCTTCATCAGTAAGTGCTTCAAGTCCTCTTCACTTTCAGCAAGCCAAGGTTGTGTCATCTGCATAATGCAGATTGTTAATGAAGTTTAAATTCTAGCCTCCCCCAAATTAATATTCTTGAGATTTTGATTCAACTTGCTTTGAATATGTAGATTAATTTGGGAAGAATTGAT